CTATACAGAGATTTAGCTTGCTGGGCATTCAATGTTGCCACTGTTAATATCAATTATATCATGCAGGGGTCTGCTATAAATACTGCAGCCCACAGACTGTTCTCTGGACATGCAATGATGCCTGGAGTGATCATCGTCACATGTAGGCTCCTTCAGGGCCTTGATGATCAGAGCAGAGTCAGATGGCTCGATCTGGGCCTGTCTGTTCTAGATGGTCAGTTTAACAGTGATCCTCAAACCCTTCCAGTCACTGGTTGCCTTGGCAATGTCAGCATGAAAAAAAATATGGAATACTGCACAAATTTGCATGCCATCCTTGTACAGGGGCTATGCTAATCTTCTCTGTATCATTAAATTTTTAGTAAATCTCCTGCTGAAGTGAGAACCACATACAGAACTCTCAAACAATAATTGCTCACGGGACGTTTTGTTTATGAGAGTTTTCATGTGTTAGGGACTGAGCTGCATCTATATCCATGGTACCGTGGCCTTTTGTATTGTTTATAGGACAAACACACAGTTTTTTTTTTTTACTTTTCTTTGCATGTGGTTGTTTATTTCTTGCAAACTGAACTTTCACTGCATTCATTTGCAAAGTTAACAACCTAAATGTCTTTAATAAATCAGTCCATTTAAATTATTAACATTTTTAGCTATCAGAAGGAACAGAGACAGCACTAAAAAGTACTGTGGTTCAAAACCCTTTCCACGCTAACCAAAACCATAGAAATGTGTTGGCTGGAAAAGGAGTATAGCTAGAGATGTCAGGTGGCACTTTTATTTCCTGGATTAGCAATGTAGCTTCATACGGCAGCCCAACACCTACAGCCTACTCATTGGGCATGCAGTTGGCATAATCAAATCTGCCCATTGTGCAGGGAACTGTCCCTGGATGCAGTGAAGTTAAAGTGATTGTAAAGGCTCAAGGTTTTTTGCCTTCATGCATTCTCTGTGTGTGAATGGACATGCAGAGCAGAGGCTCGGGAGTGAGCCTAGTTGGGTACCCCCATAGCAAGCTGCTTGACCTGGGGGCACTCAGCAGGAGGGAGGGGCCAGGAGCACCATGGGGGACTCAAGAAAAGGAGAATCGGGGTTGCTCTGTGCAAAACTGTTACACAGTGCAGGTAAGTATAACATGTTTGTTATTTTTTTTAAATTGCCTGTAATATCACTTTAAACAAAGTTGCAATTATGCTAAACTAAGAAGTAGCAAAGTGATCTTAGTGAATAGCAGAAATGTTTGTATAGCAAAAGGAAAACAAAATAGCTAGACACAACTACAAATCTTTTGGTAATAGTAGAGTATTGTACCATGTTAGCCATTGATTAAGGTGGAAAATTTGGAGTTAGAGTGAAAAGCTTTATTAGCTATCTTAAGTTAGTCTTTAGGACTTTATACATTATGCAGACAATAAAGGGTATCACTTAAAGAGATATTAAAGGCAGATTTGTTTTTTGTTTAAAAATAACAAACATGTCATAGTTACCTGCTGTGTGCAGTGGTGTCAGAGCTCCCGGGTATGACCAGAGGTGTGTGACTGACGCAGGGAAACGCAGACTTCAGATATGTTATAAACAATGTAATTTATTAACACTAACCATACAAACATAAACGCAGTGCAATACTAAAACATAACACAGTGCAAACAAACCAACCAACCACCCACAGATAACAGTACATACAATGCAAGCGTCGTCAGGCAGCCGGGTCAATATCAGTCGGGCAGGTAGGTACAGGGGGGAGCAAGCGGAGAATGGTCGGGGTCACAGGCCAGGTTCAGCAGGTAGCGGGCAGCGTGGTACAGAGGGTCAGGCAGAGGAGAATGGTCAGACAAGCCAGGGATCAGAGCAGGGTCAGCAGAGAATCAGACAGGAACAGAGAGCAGGAACAGGATACAGGGCCCAAGAGAAACACAACACCAAGGCAGAGTCTGCAGGTCTGAATGTCCCTTAAATACACCAGTATAATTAGTTCCAGGTGTTTGACTGGCTGCAAGGTTGAGTCTCTGATTGCTGGGAGCACCCGCTGGCCAGCCCTGGTACTGCAGCTCATAAGGCAGCTGAGTCCCACTATTGCTGGCCAGTCCATTCCTGACAGGACCCCCCCCTCAAGGAGCGGCCTCAGGACGCTACAAACAGTCCTAGCTGGGCAAAATGTTCCACCGCCCGGGTCTGGTAACTGGCAGGATATCAAAGACTGGCACACCGGGCAGGACTCCGGGCAGCGGCACACCGGGCAGAGGCACATCGGGCAGGACTCCGGGCAGAGGCACATCGGGCTGGACTCCGGGCAGAGGCACATCGGGCTGGACTCCGGGCAGAGGCACATCGGGCTGGACTCCGGGCAGAGGCACATTGGGCTGGACTCCGGGCAGAGGCACATCGGGCTGGACTCCGGGCAGAGGCACATCGGGCTGGACTCCGGGCAGAGGCACATCGGGCTGGACTCCGGGCAGAGGCACTCCGGGCAGCGGCACACAGGGCAGAGGCACATCGGGCTGGACTCCGGGCAGAAGCACATCGGGCTGGACTCCAGGCAGAGGCACATCGGGCTGGACTCCGGGCAGAGGCACATCGGGCTGGACTCCGGGCAGAGGCACATCGGGCAGAGGCACACCGGGCAGGACTTCGGGCAGAGGCACATCGGGCAGGACTCCGGGCAGAGGCACATCGGATTACCAGGCGAAGCAGCAGGCAGCGGGCCACCAGGCAGAGCAGCAGGCACCGGGCCCCCAGGCGGGGCAGGAGGCAGCGGGCCCCCGGGCGGAGCAGCAGGCACCAGGCCCCCAGGCGGGGCGACAGGCATCGGGCCCCTGGGAGGGGCGACCGGCATCGGGTTCCCAGGCGGGGCGACCGGCATCGGGCCCCCAGGTGGAGCGGCGGGCGCCGGGCCCCCAGGAGGGGCGACAGGCATCGGGCCCCCCAGGCGGGGCGACAGGCATCGGGCTCCCAGGCGGGGCGACAGGCGTCGGGCACCCAGGCGGAGCGGCGGGCGCCGGGCCCCCAGGAGGGGCGACAGGCATCGGGCCCCCAGGCGGGGCGACAGGCATCGGGCCCCAGGCGGAGCGGCGGGCACCGGACCCCCAGATGGAGCGACAGGTCTCGGGCCCCTAGGCGGAGCGGCGGGCGCCGGACCCCCAGGTGGAGCGACAGGTCTCGGGCCCTCAGGCGGAGCGGCGGGCGCCGGGACCCCCAGGTGGAGCGACAGGTCTCGGGCCCTCAGGCGGAGCGGCGGGCGCCGGACCCCCAGGTGGAGCGACAGGTCTCGGGCGCTCAGGCGGAGCGGCGGGCGCCGGGCCCCCAGGCGGAGCGACAGGTCTCGGGCCCCCAGGCAGAGCGACAGGTCTCGGGCCCTCAGGCGGAGCAGCGGGCGCCGGAACCCCAGATGGAGCGACAGGTCTCGGGCCCTCAGGCGGAGCGGCGGGCGCCGGACCCCCAGGTGGAGCGACAGGTCTCGGGCCCTCAGGCGGAGCGGCGGGCGTCGGACCCCCAGGTGGAGCGACAGGTCTCGGGCCCTCAGGCGGAGCGGCGGGCGCCGGGCCCCCAGGCGGAGCGACAGGTCTCGGGCCCCCAGGCAGAGCGACAGGTCTCGGGCCCTCAGGCGGAGCGGCGGGCGCCGGACCCCCAGATGGAGCGACAGGTCTCGGGCCCTCAGGCGGAGCGGCGGGCGCCAGACCCCCAGGTGGAGCGACAGGTCTCGGGCCCTCAGGCGGAGCGGCGGGCGCCGGACCCCCAGGTGGAGCGACAGGTCTCGGGCCCTCAGGCGGAGCGGCGGGAGCGCCGGACCCCCAGGTGGAGCGACAGGTCTCGGGCCCTCAGGCGGAGCAGCGGGCGCCGGGCCCCCAGGCGGAGCGACAAGTCTCGGGCCCCCAGGCGGAGCGACAGGTCTCGGGCCCTCAGGCGGAGCAGCGGGGCGCCGGACCCCCAGGCGGAGCAACAGGTCTTGGGCCCTCAGGCGGAGCGGCGGGCGCCGGACCCCCAGGTGGAGCGACAGGTCTCGGGCCCTCAGGCGGAGCGGCGGGCGCCGGACCCCCAGGTGGAGCGACAGGTCTCGGGCCCTCAGGCGGAGCGGCGGGAGCGCCGGACCCCCAGGTGGAGCGACAGGTCTCGGGCCCTCAGGCGGAGCAGCGGGCGCCGGGCCCCCAGGCGGAGCGACAAGTCTCGGGCCCCCCCAGGCGGAGCGACAGGTCTCGGGCCCTCAGGCGGAGCGGCGGGGGCGCAGGACCCCCAGGGCGGAGCAACAGGTCTTGGGCCCTCAGGCGGAGCGGCGGGCGCCGGACCCCCAGGCGGAGCGACAGGTCTCGGGCCCTCAGGCGGAGCGGCGGGTGCCGGACCCCCAGGTGGAGCGACAGGTCTCGGGCCCTCAGGCGGAGTGACAGGTTTCAGGCCCCCAGGCGGGGCGCCGGGCGCCGGACCCCCCCCCCCCCCCCCCCCAGGCGGAGCGGCGGGCGCCGGACCCCAGGCGGAGCGACAGGTCTCGGGCCCCCAGGCGAAGCGGCGGGCACCGAGTCACCAGGCACGACAGTGGGCTCCGAGTCAACTGGCATGACCGCTGGCACTGGGTCAGACATTGGATCGTCTGGGCAGGACAGCGGGCATCGGGTCACCAGGCATCAGGTCATTTGGCTCGACAGCGGGCACCGCGTCCTCTGGCAAGGCAGTAGGCTTCGAGTCAACTGGTATGACCGCGGGGCACTGGGTCAGACATTGGATCGTCTGACTGGACAGCGGGCATCGGGTCACCAGGCATCAAGTCATTTGGCTCGACAGCGAGCACCGCGTCATCTGGCAAGGCAGTGGGCTCCGAGTCAACTGGCATGACCGCGGGCACTGGGGCAGACATTGAATCGTCTGGCTGGACAGCGGGCATCGGGTCACCAGGCATCAGGTCATTTGGCTCGACAGCGGGCACCGCGTCATCTGGCAAGGCAGTGGGCTCCGAGTCAACAGGCACGACAGTGGGCACCGGGTCATCAGGTACCGGATTGTCTGGCTCGACAGCGGGCATCGGATCACCAGGTATGACAGCGGGCACTGGGTCACCAGGCATCAGGTCATTTGGCTTGCCAACGGGCACCGCGTCATCTGGCAAGGCAGTGGGCACCGGGTCACCAGGCATTGGATCGTCTGGCTCGACAGCGGGCATCGGGGTCACCAGGTATGACAGCGGGCACTGGGTCACCAGGCATCAGGTCAATTGGCTTGCCAGCGGGCACCGCGTCATCTGGCAAGGCAGTGGGCACCGGGTCACCAGGCATTGGATCGTCTGGCTCGACAGCGGGCATCGGGTCACCAGGTATGACAGCGGGCACTGGGTCACCAGGCATCAGGTCATTTGGCTCGCCAGCGGGCACCACGTCATCTGGCAAGGCAGTGGGCACCGAGTCACCAGGTACGACAGCGGGCTCTGAGTCAATTGGCACGACAGCGGGCACCGGATCAGGTACCGGATCATCTGGATCAACAGCGGGGCATCGAGTCAACTGGCCTAATAGGATCGTCAGGCTGGAATCAGTTCATCATGCTGGGTAGAGGCATCAGGCTGAATGCCGGCGTCCGGCTGAGTAGAGGCTTCAGGCTGAGTAGAGGCTTCAGGCCGAATAGAGGCTTCAGGCCGAGTAGAGGCTTCAGGCCGAATAGAGGCTTCAGGCCGAGTAGAGGCATCAGGCCGAGTAGAGGCTTCAGGCCAGAGGAGAGGCATCAGGCTGCGTATCAGGCTGCTGAGTACAGGCATCAGGCTGAGTACAGGCATCAGGCTGAGTACAGGCATCAGGCTGAGTTGAGGATTCAGGCTGAGTAGAGGCTTCAGGCTGAACCACGGAAGGCAGGTTCACCGGTTTGGATACTGGCAGGATGGTATTGGTTGGAAAGAATTTTCGCTTTTTTCTGGTTTTAACTACTGGAGCACTGCAAGTAAACGCAGGTCTGCAAACGAATGGAGCAGCTGGAGACAGAGAAGAACTGGAGGATGGAACAGGAGAGGGAGCAGTTGCTACAGAGGGCTTTTTTACAGGGTTAAAAGGCAGGATAGGTGCAGCGAGTGGGAACAGGGTACTGACATGCGGTAGATAGCAGGGCAGGAGGAGCTGTTGGGAATGCAGGAATAGAGTTTTGAGGGAAATAGATTAGAAGCAGGACTGGGTTTTTGTAAGCTGACTGAGGCTGGGTGCAACAAGTCTGTCCATGTCTGCAGTATGGGTTGAACAAAGCTGAGCTTACACAAAGCCTGTCTGACCAAAGACTGCCCTGCGTTTATACAATCTCTTAGTGTCTGTGGTGAACATGTGGAATAACGCTCCAGAAAGTAACCCACATCATCCTCTAATAACCACACCAGGGACTCTACCTGGTCTGCACTAAATGGTGGCAAAAATTCATCCCTGCATTCGGGGGGGGTACCAGATGAAACCAACTCAGCACAAACCTCAATCAAAGGCTGCACCTCAGGGAACTCTGTGCCCTGATCTACTAGAACATGAGCGAGCCGTATACATTCTAGCAGTTCATCCCAGGTATACTCCTTCAGAGTTTGATAAGCATACTCCCTGTCATCAAACACTAGCAGATATAAATACGCAACCTCATCCAGATCCATCCTTCCCATCAACAAGCCAAGATGGCTTCCCTGTGCAGCCACTTCTGGTCAGGATTGGCCTTGGTGTAATGTCAGAGCTCCCGGGTATGACCAGAGGTGTGTGACTGACGCAGGGAAACGCAGACTTCAGATATGTTATAAACAATGTAATTTATTAACACTAACCCATACAAACATAAACGCAGTGCAATACTAAAACATAACACAGTGCAAACAAACCAACCAACCACCCACAGATAACAGTACATACAATGCAAGCGTCGTCAGGCAGGCCGGGTCAATATCAGTCGGGGCAGGTAGGTACAGGGGGAGCAAGCGGAGAATGGTCGGGGTCACAGGCCAGGTTCAGCAGGTAGCGGGCAGCGTGGTACAGAGGGTCAGGCAGAGGAGAATGGTCAGACAAGCCAGGGATCAGAGCAGGGTCAGCAGAGAATCAGACAGGAACAGAGAGCAGGAACAGGATACAGGGCCCAAGAGAAAACACAACACCAAGGCAGAGTCTGCAGGTCTGAATGTCCCTTAAATACACCAGTATAAATAGTTCCAGGTGTTTGACTGGCTGCAAGGTTGAGTCTCTGATTGCTGGGAGCACCCGCTGGCCAGCCCTGGTACTGCAGCTCATAAGGCAGCTGAGTCCCACTATTGCTGGCCAGTCCATTCCTGACAAGTGGTATTGCCCTGCTCCTGGCTTGGCCCCTTCCTCCTTCCCACTGTCCCCATAGCAAGCAGCTTACTATGGGGGTACCCAAACAGGCTCACTCCCAAGCCGCTGCTCTGTGTGTACATTCACACACAGAGCAGGGACCGGCCATGCCCCTTGCTCTCTCCTCATTGGCTCACTGGCTGTGATTGACAGCAGGGAACCAATGGCTATCAGCCAATGAGGAGGGAGAGACCTGGGGGAGCTAAGGCTCTCGTACACATCGTTGGATTAAGATGGGATTCAGGTAAGTTTTACTGAGGAGACTGCTGCACACAGAAGGTTTTTTTTACCTTCATGTATACAATGCATGAAGGTAAAAACCTTGAGCCTTTACAACCACTGCAAACCACCACCTGCAAATGTTCTACATCTTTTGGTAAGTAAAGCAGTATATTTTTGGGATCTGTGTCTTTTGCTGTTTGCCTAGAGTCACGCTTATGTATGCAGCATTAATGCAAATTGTATGTTTGCTATTTCTTTTATTGCAATGTTCCATACAGTAACAAAAATACGTGAAAGTAAAAAAATTACTTTAAGATAAACACATCACTAATAACTCAGAATGTATGCACACTACACATATGCCATACTTCCATATTAGCTATAAACTAGCCACTAGCCATAAACATTTCTCTAAAATAGGAATCTTTTAGCTCATTACCCTGTATATGGTAGAGTATATCTACTTAGTAAATATAAGATTTAATGAGCTGTCTTGTTATCTAACAGGTATGCCTTATTTCCTACAGCCTATAGTTCATATCTATCTGATAGAATTCTATGTTGCTTGACAACGTTGTTTGAACAATAATTCCACTCATGCATGAAGAATGTCTGTTCTCAGCAGATGGGATATTTACAATTATATATATGTTCACATGGAAATGTATGATGAGGATAGCCGTGTATAATTTATATTTAGATAATGGTTTAACATAGCATCTTTTTATTTTAAGATATCAAAGCAGAAAATAACATGTTTTTGTTTTTACAATATATGTATCTACTGTATGTGCCACTATTTTTTCTCCTGCAGCCTTAATGTGTATTGCCGTATTTCCTTGTGCTACAAACAAGGCAGGATGGATGGAGACAATGCACTTGTGTATGGCTACAGAATTATTAAAAATGGGAAGTGTACAGAGCAAAAACCCTTTTCAGTAGAGCAGGGGAGTCAAACTGAATTTCATCATGGGCCACATCAGCATTATGGTTGCCCTCAAAGGGTCGATTGTATCTCGAGAATGGATGACCAGAGCACCCCTCCCCCCTTCCATCAGATGTTAAGAGACCTCTCAACAACAGAAGTCAAGAGTTCCTCCACCCACCCTTACATCACAGTGCACCCACCTTACCTTGTGCTGCTGCAGGTAAGAAGCTGGGGGAGGAGCTGGGAAGTAGAAAGTGCAGATCTCGGTGGGACCTTCTTTACCGAGCCGCCGTTGATTTGAGCCTGGTGACTTGACTTGTTTATTACTGGCGGAAAGGCCAGTGATAGCGGAAGCCACCCACAAGGTGGATGCCGTGCGAACGAGGCCCGTTGCAAGGGTGATGTCCAGCCGACTGCAAGGCAAACTGAGGAGGCCCACAGCTCTATTGAAGAGAAGCTGTGCAGCCGCATGTACTTTGGCCAGGAGCAGGTGCTCTGCACCAACTGGTCCTCGTTAGTATAGTGATGAGTATCCCTGCCTGTCACGCGGGAGGACAGGGGTTCGATTCCCTGATGGGGAGGCCGGCTTTTGTTTTCTACCCACCTACCCCACAATCCTCTGCCTCCGCTCAGCTTAACTCCTTGGATGGTCTTTGAACGAGAAAAAACGCTCACATTCGCAGTACATGGCAATTACAGAAGTTCATCGGATGGCCACCCAGCTCGACACCAAGTGGCACGGCTTTCTGGACCAAGTCAAGCTTTCAACTTTGCAGGACCTGGCCGCTTCACACCATCTGTGGAATCTTCGCTGGGGTGCGTACTTCTCCCACTTCCACGCCTCTTCAAGTTCTCAACACTTTCATCTCTACTTCTCCACAGTCATTGCCAGCAGCCCATTTTCAACCCACAGACCTTGATTTCCTCTTCTCCCATTGCTCGCTCTCAAGACTCTGCGCCTTTGCTTTCCACCAGCTCTGGACCTCCTCCGTCATGTACACTTCCTGCACCCATGTCCTGAAAACACTACATTTATCTGCTGGCACGCAGATTGAAAGGCGTAGGCGAGTGAGCCCAGTGTGCTCTTTAGCCGATCATTAATGCCCTCCTAAAAAGCCCACCACCAGGCCAACATACAGCAGAGTATGCAGCAGATTCATTGCTTTGGCCTCGGGGAGGGTCTTTTTGACTCTCTCTACCCCCTCCCTCGGTGTGTGCAACACGTTCTCTAGAGTTGGTCTCCGGTTACAATCTATTAAGATTCCAGTTTTTGCGACGCTCAACCCTAATGGGAAGTCCTTGGGCCTCCTCCCCTTCTCTGATCATCTCCAGTCATCCCGTTTGCTAAGGCCTTCATAAGGAATTTGTCCACGCAGAGCATTCCTTTCCCCAGCTGGGGCCTGTCTTTGGTGCTGGAGGTTCCCTCTGGTTCCCAGTTTCACCCAGTGGCAACCCGTTTACTACTGAACCCCACGCTCCAAG